ACATTGCCTTCAGTTGGCCCTGTGTTTCGGATATGCGTCTTTTAAAGAACACTGGTCTTTCAGCTGAAGTCCAACTTCAGTAAGACTTGTTCTCCAAAGTCATGAGTCCATGGACAATTCTGGGATATTGCCTTAACTGAGCCTTGTATCCCAGAAAGCTATTATCCGAAGCATTGCCTTTAGTTGGCCCTGTGTTTCGGATATCCATTTTTAAGAAGTGAAGAAATCGTTTATTCAGCTGAAGCCATACTTCAATTTCTTGGGGGCAAGAAGCACTATCAGTGCAAGTTTATGTTCGGCAGAATTGAAGAAACAGTAAAGCATTCAAAAACAAAGCAGCTGAAGAAAAGAACATCAAATTAATAATTTATGCTCAGAAATTGAGCTACAAGTTCAAATAAACTGTATCGGCAGCCGCCCACAAGCGGAAAATAACAGCTGCCGAAATACGTACAGAAGCAAAAAATTAAACTGTTTTGTACGACAAGGCAAGCTGAAGCAAAAAACAAGGCAAAAAATTCAGAAAGCGGCAAGTCTAAAGTTAAGCGCATGATGAACCGCAAGATTCTGAAGACGACTGCCCGAGTTCCGATGCTTCAGCCCGAGGATCAGACTGATCAGCATTGTTGAGCCCCATGGTGGCCTCAACCCCAACAGCAGAAGAAGCAGGCTTTGCACTCTGCCGAGCCTCCCTTTCCCTCTGTTCAGCCTCCAACTCCATTCTCTCAGCTTCTTCTTCGGCTTCCTCAGCCTTAAGAATTTCAGCTTCGAATGGAGTTGCATACTTCATATGAGGGTCTTCGGGATTCTGGACCCATTCAGCACACTTGGACCAGTCCAGCTTCGGCTCAGCATGAAGGCAGACTCTTCGGCATACTCTGAACCCGTTTCTGAAACCCATTTCATATTCTTCCTGGGTATAGACACGGACTTTGAGTAGAGCCTCAGCATCAGCCAACTTCTTCTGGGTGTCCTCCAAGTCTTCCTTGGATTTCTTCAGCTCATCGGCGAGCTTGGAGGAGGAACCTTTCAGCTCATTCAGCTCCTGCTGAACTTGGGAAGCCTCTGTCTGAGCCTGGGCCATTTCTTCTTTTTTGGCCATCAGCAGATCCTCAACCTCTTGGAGCTTAGCTCTCTGAGCTTCAGCAGCAGCAGCAGCCTCTGAGAGTTGGACATCCCTGGCCTGGAGCAGCTCTTCAGCAGCCATTCTGCTGGCTTCAAGAGCTTCTAACCGTTGCTGCACTTCAGCTTGTGCAGCAGCTCCTTCCTGAATACGGCTTTCAACGGCAGCCTTGAATTTGGAGACGTCCACTCCCATGTGCTCCTAGAGGAATTTTTCCCCTTCCATCAGTGGGGGAAAAACTTCCTTCTCCATAGCGTCGCAGAAGGTTTTGAGGACTTCAGCAGCTTTTTTCTCGTACTCCTCACCCTTCTGCTGCTTCTCTTCAGCTGCTGCTTGCTTCAGCTTAGCAAGCTTTAATTCCTCTTCAGCTACCTTCTTGTCGTGCTCGGCAGCGTCTACCCTATCTTGTAGGGTATCTATCAGCTCTACAGTTAGAGTCTGATTGTGCACGAACTGAAAACAGGAGCACAAGTTAAAAAAATAAAATAAAATAAAATAGAGCTGAATTTTAGAGGAAATAAAGGCAAGGAAAATCACCTGCATCATCAGCAGTTGGTTAGACCTGGCTGGGTCAGGAACTGATCTGCTGGATTCGCCCATCCCAGCAGTGGCCTTCAGCGACCAGATTCTTGCCCTATCTACTTCGGACATGCCAGCAAAATCGCCGAAGTAGCTGCAGCACCTTCACGGTTCTGACCCCATATGAGGTCCCAGATCTGATCTGGGATTGGAATTCGGGGGGCCGAGAAACCCATTTCTCCAGATTGCAGAGTCTGGAAAGAAGGAAAGGATGACGATGGAGCTTCTTTAGCTTTGGATGGCTCAACATCATCCTTCTCAGAAGAGTTAATTACTATGACCTCTTCTTCTTCAGGGGTGAGGACGAAAGCCTCAACCTCTCTTGCAATGTCTGCCGTGAAACCCTCAACACTGGGCATCACGGCATCCTTATTTTTGTGCGTAGCAGCACTCTCCTGAATTTCTTCTTGGACCCCTCCCTTAGATTCGGGAGTTCTCTGATCCACCTCCATCTCAGGAGGTGGCGGAGGGGTCTTTTGAGGTGATTGGGGTGGTGGCCGGGGAACCCTCGGCGATCCATTGCCTTCCTCGGGTTCCCTTATTTCAACGCCGATGGTCATCGGCCTCCGCTGAAAGTCATGAGGGCCGATGATGGCCATTCTTCGGCGCCTCTGAAGGGGCTGCTCGTCCATGTCTGAGTCTGAAGACTCTTCTTGTATTTGGTCTTCGGGACGAACAGGGGCTTTCCCTTCTCTGTGTCTGTTACTCTCTTCAGACTGTAACAGACAAGGGGTAGGAAGAATGTGAGTACAAAAAAAAAAAAAAAAAAGAAAAAAGAAAGACAAAGTTAAGTCTGAAAGCTCACCGAGGTCTTCAGCAAAGCCTCGTCTTCTTCAGCTGCCCTAGCTGCAGCTTCTTCTTCAGCAGCTCTGGAGGACCCTTCTCCTCCTTCGCAAGCTTCGAGAACCCGTGCAACCTCTTCGGCTGTACGGGAGGCTTCAGCTTCTTCGTCCAGCAGCTGAAACCAGGGGTCTCTCTTCTTCCACCAAGGCTTCTGCCTCTGATACAGAGCAACAGCCTCAATTTGGAAGTGGGAAGAGTCTAGATGAACTTCCCTATGCCTCGGTTCAGTGATAGACGGGGCCCGATCAGTTACAACTCGTTCTCGGTTGACACCAAGACGAGCGTAGTTAATGCCAACGTTGGTCTCGTCCCGCTCTAAAAAAGAAAAGGGGAAAGGTCAGTTCAGTTAGGTTGGCACAGCATAAAAAAGCAAAGTGAGAGAAGAAAAAGAGATAATTAAAAAGCCTCGGCCCCAGCCAAAGAAGCTTACCATCCTTAAACTTTCGGCTGAGGCCAACAGCTGCTAGCATATTCTTTTGGAAAACATAATGCGTATCGGGGAGCCAAGTCTCCGGGAAATGCTGCATTCGGCCGCTGCCCCCCCGGTTCGGCAGCTTGCCGAAGATATTTTGTTGATCAAGGTTCGGATCCGGCCCGTTATCTGCGGGGGGACCTAGACTTCCCATGTCGGGATCAGGCTCAGCAAGGTACTGGGAGCGCTGAAGACGCAAGGGTGGCTCGGATCCGTGGGTGCCCTAACCCAAATCCATTGACCTCTCCAGTCCTTGTCTGAAGAGTTGTTCGGCCACATGGTTAGATATTGGGGCCGAGACTCAATCCGATACCACCCAGAACCATGGCTTCCGTGCCCACTTTGAATATTTGGCACTAGCCGATGAAGCTTTTTGAAGCAGTGCAGGTTCGGCACATACTTGAAGAACTTGCAAACCCATAAGTATGTCATCACCCTTCGGATGCTGGTAGGAGTTAGCTGACATAGGGAGATATTGTAATGGATCAGCAAGTCTCGGACGAATACGTCCAAAGGGAACCTCAGCCTGTACTGAAGCTGTCTTGTGTACACCCCCACATACCCCGGGGGTGGACGATGGATTCTATCGGATGCCACGGGCATTCGGCACCAATACCCATCAGCTTCAAAAATTCCGTAATGCAACTCAATTTGCTCGGCAAACCGATATTGTTCGGCATTCTCCACCCACCATGAGTAGGGGCGGTTCTTTATCATGGCCGAAGCTACTTCGGCATTCTCCCACTCTGAAAACCCGGGGAGGATATCCCAAAGGACAGCGGGAACTTCATCGTCCCGTCCAGAAGCGCTCGGCCCCTCCGTTCTCTGAGGAGGAGCCGAGGAAATTGGAGTCGCCCTAATCCCTTCAGCAGGGTCAGACTCTGGCCTTTGTCCATTCCAGGTCCCAATCTTGTTCCTAGGATCGGGAATTGGCCTTGCTCTTCTTGGAGCACGGGCTCTACCTCTAACTCCTCTTGCCATTGATTATTTCGAAGAAAAAAGTCGAAAAAAAGGGAAGGAGTTCGAATTCGAAGAAAAATAAATTGAAATCAAAGGAATTTACCTTAATCTGAAGCGAAAGTTGTCGATTTACGAGTTCGTAGTGGCAAGTCTCAGTTTCTAAGCTTAATGCTCGGGGAATTTGCGAAGTTTTGATGCGGGTTCTTGGGTTCTCTCGAGAATTCTGGGTTTGTGTTGGTGAATAAGTGAGGAGAAATGACGCGCCTCTGATTATATCTCCAGAAATGGGAATACGGGGAGTCCCCGTTTCAATTTCTCTTAAATACCCCATTAAGTAACCGTTAAACACACGACCTTGTGATTAAACTGCCCATTATCCGTCCAACTTCCACAATCATCCGCCTTAACCGTTGTTATCTCATTAATTACGGTTTAAATTCAAATTTTTGGATTAATTAAATCATTTACTTCCCTCCTTTTCTGAATTAAATCAAACCCGACCCGTCATCCTTCCAAATCGGGTCTGGGGGGCAAGTTGTTTGGGTCCAATTTAGTCCAATTGGGCCTAGGCATTAAATGATCCAATTAAAAGCCCAAGGTCAAGGTTCAACTCTCCAATTGTGCTAAAGTCAAAGGTCAGCCCTCAAAGCAAGTCAATTGGGCTAAGGCCCAACTTCTCCATGTATGAAGAGGTATAAAAGCCATCAATATTCATACATACACATTCATTCACAGATTCACATATTCTCATAGATTCCCATACATTCTCATATATTCTCATATATTCAAGCAAAGCCTCAAGCAACTAATTCTCTTGCATAGTGTTCTCTTTCTACACATTGTACTGGCTTTAGCATCGGAGGGGCCTTCCTCGGCAACACCCCCGAGGCTAGTTTACGTGTGTTTACTGTGCAGGAAACCTTCGGCCCAACATAACTTGGACCGAATCTAGTCTTCTCCGTTTCAGCGGACCTTCGGTAAGGTCCCATTGTTTTCACCCGAAACATGTGTAATTGTTATTTGGTGATTAATAAATTTTTTACCTTTTTTCAGGAAAAAAAAAACAAAAAAAAAAAAAAGTCTAATATGAGGGGCATACCCAATTAAATATTGGTGCACCATTCAATCTTGAGAGTCAACACACCTAATATAATAGTCTCACCACTTTTAATTCTATCAACTAATTACAAGCATTATTGTCCAAAAGGTCAACTAAACATAAAATGGCAGAAGATGATGATCTTATAAACAAGATTGAAGAAACAACCATAAATGCCAAACGCTGCCAACATGAGACTCTTGCAACCATCCTCAGAATTAACGGTAGAGTTGGATACCTCCAACGTTACCTTGGCAACACTAATTTTTATGATCATTTTGATGCGGAAACTTTCCGGCGGCTTGTGCCGTTGTCTACTTACGATGACTATGCCGATCATATCAATCGGATGGCCGAGGGTATCATTGATGACGATGTTGATGGTTGGCATTTTCTTTCATTTGATCCAATCATATGTTTCTTTCTAAGGTAAACATTCTATGATCCATCTTGATTCAATTCCGTCTTTTCTTATCCTGCCTCAAAATAAACAACTTTGTGTTGTCCTCGATTTTCCTTTTTTTTTTTCTCGAATATTTCATTTGACAAAGAAATTTTAACTATTATTCATCTGAATAAAAAGATATACTACGTAAAAACAAACCAAATATATATTTTCTCTGTTCTACAAATATTGCAACAAGGATGAAATTACGCATCTCAAAGCATATTTTATATGTTAAATATCTATAATTATATAAGAGTAAAAATTATAAAAAGTTGATATTGTGAAACTATTTTACAAGATAAATCTAACAAGAGCCTACATAACTATATTTTACTTTACGTATAAATCATAATTTGTCCATCGTGATAGAGGGAGTATAACATTATAGTACTAAGATGAGTTTCTTATCAGAGGAACTGATCAAACTTTTATTGGGGTGATGAATAGCTCAGGGACAAGTGGAATGAAGCAAAAAGTGATACCATATTATGATTCAGCATCTTCAAAAGCCGCCTCCTTTTTAGCTCATTACGGCAGCTCTGCCATCCAGCGTAGGTATACCTCTTGCGACTTTGCCACTGCTTTTTCTTTTGTTTTTTTTAAAAAAAAAAATAACTACTTTTACATAAAATATGCTATAGTACTATGATTCCTTTTTTTTTTTTTTTTTTTTTTTTGATAAGATAGTACTATAGTCATTGGTTTATGTCCTTTTCGAAGCAAGTTCATTAAACGTTATTTTTATTATTTTTTTTATTTTTACAATGCATACCTGAATAATTAATAATTATTTTTGATTGCATGCGACGCATTCAACGTTATCAAATTAATATCTTAATTTCACAAGAAAATTAGGTTATCCCGTGTAATGCACGGTTAAAACTAATTTTTCTTGTAATTTATGTTCTGCTACATTACATTATATATAAAAATTAGAATAGCTAATAATTTAAAGTTAAGGATATATATGAACCACATTACATTATTTACAATTAATAATTGAAATAGTTAAAAGAAAATGACTTAAAGATACATAGTAATGAAATATAAAGAAAAAAAATATAAAGTATACAATTAGTTCCAACGCTAGCAGAATTATTATTTAGCTTCCAACAATTGACAGGTTGTATAGTAGTCTATAGAAAATCTATTTGATTTTTGTAGTCATAATTTATAAAACAATCTTCAAAACAATAAAAAATAGAGTAAATAGCTCAGTTAAAAAAAAAAGAAAAAAGAAAAAAAATGATGATGTCATTATAGCTTTTAGGCAAGAAAATTTTTCATGTGAAAGTGACATGTGTGCAGTTTTATAAAAAAAAAACATCTTATCAGCATATTTTGTTTCAATATTAGTTAATAGATTAGAATTAGACTACTCCCCCTAGATGAAGAAAAAGAGAGTTAGAAAGCTACGTACGGAGTATAATTTTACAAAACAATATTATATATTAATTTAATTGTTAAAATATATTAAATGGTTAAGATACACATTAGGTTTACAAAATAATAATACCAAAGAAATTCAAAGAATAATATTTTAAAGAACACAAATTCTTATATGTGGCTGACCACACCGTGTGGTCAACCATAATGATGGTTATTTTGTTAGTGTTATAGGGATTACCCATTAGTCATCAGTGTAACAGGGGATACTCAGTCAGTGTTATAAGAGTTAATCAGTCAGTGTTACAGGGGATACTCAGTCAGTGTTATAGGGTTACTCGGTCAATATTTTATGGGTTACTTTGTTCTTTTACAAATGGTCACACGATATGACTAATCACACATAAGACACACTTTTTAAAGAATAATATAGATGTTATCATAATAGTCAACATATTTATGATTTCTCTATCTATCACTAATCTACTTAAGTGTAAAAGATTATTATTTCAAACAATCAGAGAGAACTTATTACGGAGTATTACAAGAAGCGAATCAATTTCCAAAGGACATTGTCAATGAGAAGTGGCTAGTTGGCCATAAAGTCCACAGCCCAATGTATATGTAATTCTTGATAGCTATCACATCGAAGTCCACAGCCCAATGTATATGTAATTCTTGATAACTATCACATCGAAATATTGTTTTTTGAAAGGATTATGGTTATCTATGACTGATGACCGATTGACCCTATTGACATATACAGATATTTCCTAGAAGTTATAATATCATTAGTATGACCATGTTCTCTTCCCCAATAATATTAGTATGGAGTAAAATAATTTTAGTAATTTAGTGTACTAATAATTTCAATACATTAAAAATAAGTTAAATTTATTAAAAATAATTTTAATTCAACTTAAGTCCAATTTAGTAAAAGTGAATTTTGTTTAGTACTGTAATAATTAGTAACTTTAAAAATAGATATCAGCAAAAAAAATAAAGTAAAGAGAACAAGATATTATTTTACTGCTGAACTATATAGAAAGCTTCTGCTAATCTCAGCTCCAAATTAGTACCCTAAAACACGAATAGTTCACTTAGGACTAGTTAGCCCAAATTAGTGGCTTAATCACTATCTCATGACAAACTAATTAATTATATAATGCCTCCTCCACATGCTTTCCATGGACTTGATGATTACTTGATTGAATGCCTGTTAAACCTATGGATGAATATCTACATTGTAATTTGAAGAGTACTTCCAATTTCTTTCCCACTCACTCACAAGATACAAGCACATGGACACGTAAATAACCTTAGTTGTACCATGCATAAGGTACAAGCGTACAACCAGTTCTATCTAAAAACTTGCCTAAGATTGATCACAATATACAACTCTGTACTACTCCGTATTTGATATTTTAATGTATGCACCCGAGAGCACGTACATGTTATGATGTGCAAATAATCCAAGACAGAGTTCCATTGCACCCTTAATATTTGTCATTGGATTATTTTCATATTAACTTGGAGTACAATTCCAAAATGCATATGGTTACATACTTACATTACTGAATCTGATTGAACAAGATGCAATTGACATTAGTTTTACATACTCGTAACCTCGTAAGATGTACAAAATGATCTAATAACGATTGAGCATTTGCAGGTTGTTCCCCCCACGGCCGTCGGTCAATAAGAGCCTGTGGTTTCTATATGCTGGAAATATAACAATAACTAAAAGTGGGTTCAAGGCAATGGCTGCATCTTCAATACCATTGTCCAGCAGTAAAGAAAGCCAATCTCAGTTTCTTTCTACGTGCATCGCCCCTGCTGAAGTTGTTAAGGGTTCTAATCTACAACAGCAGATGTACTGTCATCTATTATGTGGCCTAAGGAAGTTTGAGGTAATCGATTCCATTCGAGCACCATATGCTATAGCTTTGATTAAGGCATTCTCACTTTTACAAACCAATTGGGAGCAGCTTTGTAATGATCTTGAATCAGGGACTGTAAGTTCTGAAATTACTGACATTGCAATGAGGGACTCAGTGAATGAACTTCTCTGTGGGCCTGAGGAAGAAATCGCGAATAGAGTTCGATCAATTTGTCAAGAAAAGAATTGGGAAGGAGTTATTGGTAAGTTATGGCCAAATGCTAGATATGTCAGGTGTATTACTACAGGAAGTATGCAACAGTATTACACGAAACTGAAACATTACGCAGGAGATATTCCATTGTTAGGTGGGGAGTATTTTGCTTCAGAATGTTGTGTAGGCATCAACATGGATATTATGCAACCTCCTGAGCTGACTCGTTTCGTTATGCTCCCAACAGCGGCTTACTTTGAATTTCTTCCATTCGATTTGAAAGATAAAAATGCTTTTGCAGGAAAAGAAACAGTTGATTTTTCTGAGGTGGAAGTGGGAAAGATGTATGAAGTTGTTGTAACAACTTACAGAGGACTATATCGTTATCGTCTAGGTGATGTTGTTAAAGTCGTAGGATTCCATAACTCATCCCCTGAGTTGGAGTTAGTCATGAGGGCTCCTAAAAATTATAGCGAAATTTTGACTGAGAGAGACTTGTTTAGAGCTGTTCAGAACTTGGAGCTTGCAGGGGGAAGTTTGTTACTTGGGCAGTTAGTAGAGTTTGCCGGTTTTATGGACTTGGAGTCGGAAGCTAAACATGTGAAGATCTTCGTTGAGTTTGCTCACGAGTGTATGCTTCTAGACAAAGAGAAGGAGAACGAATCAGTTTTGTTTCTTGAAAGTTGTCAGTCTACTATAGAAGATGGTTTGGGAGCCATGTATAAATTGAAGAGAGGAAATGGTGAAATCCAGAATTTGGTGCTATCAGTTGTTCAGCCCGGTACTTTCGATTTGTTACTCCACAAGGCCGTTGAAAATAATGCTCCTGCTAGTCAATATAAGCCACCTAAAATCATTAGAAGTCATGGGATTGTTGACTTCATGGATGTGAATTCAGCTTTAACTGTAGTTTTCAATTGATCATCAACAAGAGATGCATACATGTTTAATTAATCATTACAATATGTGTATTTGTGATTCTATGTATTATACATGTTTATTATTGTTGTAATTAGACTTTGTAATGATATTCCTTTTTCTGATTTCTGATAATATTATCCTCTTGTTTCCGGCCTACATTACCAAGTGAACCTGAAGAAATTTTACAAACAGAACCATCTATCAGTTAATGTGATGAATTTTAGTGACCAAGCTTCCAAACACGTGATCATCGTTAAAAATTAGTGTACATTAGCCGTCCTAAACTACCACTTCATGACTTCATCACGAATTTAAGCTTTTGAGTATTTAGAGTATTGTTGGAGTTTAATATTTTCTATCAAGGATTTGTATTTGTTCATGAATCAGTAAATTTGTATACATTCTCTAATCTCTAATAAAGGTTACACATTGTAACAAGCGCTTCTGATGCCTTTATTCTCTCCCTTTGAAAATTGTTATGGGTCCTCTCACTATCCGTTAAGGGCGACTTGGATTTCCTCCAATGTTCTCCCATTAGTTTCAGGCACCACAATGATAACAAAAATGATGTCGAGTGCATTAGTCGCAGCAAAGATAAGGAAGGTACCTGACAAGTTCAGAAAATTTGTTCATCAATGAGCAGTGTTTATAGAATTGTAAGGTATATATATTACATATATTGCTTAGTTGTTTCAGTTGTAAATATGATCCAAAGTTGAGCTGTGGTGTACCATACGAACTCCATTCCATCAGAAAATTGAATGTATAAGAGACTGCCCAAGCACCAAACCAGTTGACGAGTGTTGCCAGGCTTCCAGCCACTCCTTTTACATTTATCGGAAAAATCTGTCATATATACAAAACTACTCAGTAGATTGCTGACATTTACTATCTTAATTAACAAGAACAAATAGTTTCTATGGTTTGGGGTTACCTCTGACATTACAACCCATGGGATCGGACCCATTCCTACCGAGTAGAATGCTATGTACACCTATTTACACTCATAAAAGAAACATTTGTGAGCTTGACATGTACAAAACATTCATGAGCAGGTTTCTGAAATCGCTTTGTTTGTAACAGCTATAATTCTGCTTACCAGTATACAAGTAGCTGCAAGTATACCTCCTTCTTTTGTGTATTCCTGATGAACCTAATTTAGAATGAAAAGTAGCATTTCAGTGGTTACAAGTGCATTGCAACTTGTCGACTTTTATACATGAATTATTACTTAAGTTACCTTGAGGTAAAATGAAACTGCTGTTAGAAAGCAACCTAAAGCTGATCCAGTCGCTGAAACCTGTAGTGTATAGAAGTTTCTCAAGTCATCTAATGTAATAATCCAATCGTAATTTCTTTGAGGATAGATGTAATCTTTACCAATAGTAGTGGCTTTCTTCCAGCTTTATCGATCAACGTTGCTCCAACAGATGGAATCACAACCTGCAGAGTATAATTCTTAGGGAAGTGACAACAGACATAATGGAATCACTGCCTTTAGGAACAGGGATGTTTTGCCTCAAACCTGTAGTAAAGCGTATATAACTGTTCCAATCTTTGGGGAAAATCCTGTCAAAAAAGCAATAAGGTTCAAGGCATCTTTGAAACTTTATGAGAAAGTTGTTCAAGCTTTACTGATGGCTAAGTATGCAGTAAAAAGTGGTGTTAATGGTAAGTTTATAAGTAATCGGCTAGGAAAGTCCCATTTTAATGTTAATGGTAATGCTTCTCTTCCTTTTTATAGCTAGGAATTGAGATGTACTTATCGAAAAACATACTTGGAGATACTTGTGGGTATGTAGAGTTGCATTGCCATGATAAATTTCCTTTCCTTCCAAATTTTAATACAAGCTCATTAACATTTATACCATTAATTGCCGCATATCAAACAGATTGTCAGTACATCCATGTTCTGTTGTGAAGACTAGAACAAAGTCCTCTACCTGTAGTCTTAAAAATTTTGCTTGCATAGAAGCAAATTCCATTGATTCCCCCAAACTGTTGCAACACCATTAATCCAACTCCTACCTGGCACCACAACCATTAAAGTATCGTCTCAAGAAGCAGTTACACCTCACTGTAATTAAGCTATCAGTACCAGTAAAACTTACAATGACAAAACGTATATATTTCTTCTGAAACAGGTCAAATATGTTAGCTTTCGGGTGGTGTTTGAGCTCCTCTATACAACTCTATAAAATGCAAACACATATGAGTCCAAAATTCGAATGCTTTGGCAATTTCATTTTCAATGTGAGTTAATTTGCTGACACAATACCTGGATCTCAGCTACTTCATGAGTTATATCTGCATCCTGGCCTTGAAGTTTTTGAAGTGCATATTTGTACTCCTGATTTCCTCTTCTTGCCTATATCCAAAACCAATGACCAACGGGTATTTAGTTTTCCTTGCAGATCATGTATAGTATATTATGTTACCTATAGTTTAGGTATTCATACCAGCCATCTTGGTGACTCCGGAATAAGAAACAAACCCAAAATCATAATAGCACAAGGGATTAGTCCTGCATCATATCATATTTATGGGTTAATTCTTAGCTGCCTTGTTAGCTTTTCCTAAATGATCAGCTTCACTATTATTAAACCTTACCGGTTAATGCTAATGTTCTCCATGACACTACTATCCCTATTATAAATGCCACTGATACCCCAGTAGAGATCATGACCTGTATAAGAAATAAGAGCAAGTAAGCGCAAACAATGGCAACAAGTTTCTACATTACCCCCACTGGACCCCTAAAAAGTATATTCGGACATAACTCTAATCTGTTGCTTAATGAAAAGTATGCTTCAAGAGTGATTTTCCTCTAAAATGTTCACTTTAAGTCAGAAATATCGTATAAATTTACCTGATTCAGTGTTGTAAGGGCTCCTCGAATGTTTACAGGTGATATTTCAGCAATGTAAATAGGAACCTGTAAATCATAGTACATAACACCGACATTTAGTTGAGCTCAAATCAATAGTTTAAAGATGTATAAGAACACCAAAGATTACAAAGTATTACAGAACATACGTACCACATAGGAGAAGGCACCCATTCCATATCCCCCGGCTAATCTTCCTAGGTCCAAAACAAAAGTACCCTGGTTTCATTGGATAATATTTTAACAACTTTCTCATTTAATTAAAACTACATTAGTTAGTAAAAATTCATAGTTTTACAAGAGAATATTAGTCCAAACCTTGGAAAAATATATAGCTAACCACCCTGCTACGCATGATGCGGCATACAGTCCCATTGCCTGCAGATAAATCAAATTTAACAAGAATACAAATTATGCATCATAGAAGTTGTCAGCCTGTGACAAAGTACCCTGATAATTTTTTCTTCATACCCATTTTCGACCAACAAAATCAGCTATCGGTCCACTTGTTATAGCGCCAAACATTGCACCAAAAGTCAGTACAGAACCAAAAAGTGAAAACTGCATGAAAATCAGGAACAAAACAAACATCTTAGGATCTTCAGGCACATCAGAACAGCTAAACCGATACTGCAAACTACACGTAGAAGAAGACTGTCAGCAAACCTCAGCAGTAGACAGATGAAGTTCTGCAGTTATTGCAGACTGTGTAGGAGAAGAGTAGCCAGCCTGAATATCAACCCATTATGTTAGTTAATAATCCGGGTAAATGTACAGAAAGATACGAAGCTTACAGATCAAATCAGACTAATTGGAACAACACTTACACAAGCTCCGAACTGGTACGAACCAAACACTGCAACACAAGTGCTTAAATAAATGTGTATAGTATGGTCGTCCTTTTATAGTATAGTTGGTTCATATTTGCCCCACAAATGAAAGACATTTGATCATGACACGCATATTATTCTATGGAACAATTATCTGATTTGGGAATGTAAAGAATGTTGGAATCTTTTTGAAACAAATTTTGGTGGTTCTTTTTTCTCTAGAGTGAAATATTACTGTTACAACTTACAACCAACACCTTGTGTACGTAATATTTTACGTGTCCAACACCTTAATTAGGCAAACATGATAAGTAAATGATCACCTAGCCCCGATTAATTATATTCATGGTTTTACTTGAAAGTAAAGTTATTATCATCCAGACTCAAAACAAAAATTATTATTTTTTTATTTACTATATTACACCGTACTTCCCTTCAATTATACTATATTTCATATTTGACGGTACAATAGAGAGTATAGCCTGACCCGAATATATAGATTGGAAACTAAATCCAAAAAAAACTACCTGAATTTGACCTTAAATGAACCTAAGATTACTAAAACATTTTGTGAATATTTCAATGCAATGTAAAATGATGATTTTTTATTTAATTTATTGCTACATTATTCAATTTTAACAGAATGGAATATTTTAAATAGAAGATGATTCTTTACACAATCAAAATGGACGATGAAGATTGCACGATGAAGAGAAAGATGGGTCATATTTTGTTTGTGGCCTAGTGGGATTTGATGGGTTACAACTCAAGCAAATTTGAGAATCATATCAAATCGTTTATGGCAAAGTTGAGAGAAATATATTTATTTAGAAACAAGAGCATTTAGCATATATGTTTATTATAGTTATTGATATGGCTATTCAGAATAATTAAAGATGATTATTGAAGGTATATGGAAGTTTATTGGATTCTTTTTGTTAGTTTGTCGATTTATTGTGACCCTAAAAATATTATTATTATGTTGACACAAAAGTTGGAATTCAACAGTTGTCACACATAATTTCCATTTTTTCCAAGCATCAAGTTTTTTTTAGGACATTGATATTGATTTTAATGGACCGATATAACCTTCAATCTCGGTTGAAAGGAGGGGCGAAGGGATGGGAGGCTGGTGGAGGCCCGGCCTCCTCAACCCAAATCTGCGGTTTATCAGATTTTGTACAATGGCCTCCATAAAAATGTTACATTTATTATTAACGTTAATTAATAACATATCATAATGCTTGCTATAATGGTTACGATTTTGATGTAATTGTACAAGGGATCTGAGATCAAATCTCGGCCTTGTCATATATTTTTGCATCCACATTCCACACAAATTATTAATGTAAGTTGTTGTATTGTTGGGTACTCAATAAGGCAATAGTTATTATCTGGTGCACACGTCTATAATATGAACATTTTGTAAAAAAAAATATGAACCCTTTACAAAAAAAAATGAATATTTAGTAAAAAAAAATATGAACACATCTAGTGGCAGATCCAGAATTTCCAATCAGGGATAGCACATACGAGTAGTTGTTTAAGAAATAGAAATTAATACCAAACTTTATTTTAGGGGTTCGTATTGAAAAATTCCCCAAAAACAATAAGCAGAATAATAAACCGAGTGATTTTTTGAATGCAATGCAATGTGTTAGTACATTGTTGTGCTCCTTATTAATTAATGTGATTTTGTACATGGATACATTTGACTAAAAACTTATTCAAAAAACAATTACTAAGATGTATTATACTTATCAAAAATAATTACAATACAGGAAGAAGAAGAAGAAGAAGAAGAAGAAGAAGAAGAAGAAGAAGAAGAAGAAGAAGAAGAAGAAGAAGCTGCATAATGGTATGAAGTATCAATTTTTTAATTGATACCAGTAATTGTACTCCAATTTGTATTTTTTTACAGACAATTCGTATCTAAATTTATCATTACAATTAATAGATACTCCATACTTCGCAAATAATTTTTTTTTTTTTGAAAGAAGTCCTAAATGACATTATATTTCATTAATGAAAGTCATACGGTATCTACAATTGACAATTAATGATAATGAAAACAAATTTAACAAAATCAAACAAGAATTGATTGGAGAAGGGCTAAGAATTATCCAAATACATAGATATAACACTTCAGCACATTCTCGATTCGTTGTCTCATACAACTTTTTGAGTGGATTCGTCGCTGCTTCATAATTTTGTGAGAAAGAAAATTCTTGTGCTGATTTTGAAACTCGAATTCAAACGTTAATCAATCGTAGCCCCGTACAACAAACGACCATATTAAGTGTAAATAAAACCTTGTCTTTCAAAGGAAATTAAAAAAATCTTGAATTTCGAATGAGATAAACCCTATCTTTCGAGGGAGACATTATTATAACCTAACAAAAAAAAATAAAAAAAATAAAAAAAAAGGGTATAAGAAACTAATATTAGGGCTTTCCACTAGTGAAATCCGATGGAAGCCCCTTCAATGGAGGCTAGGGTTTAGGAGAGAGGAGGGTAGTATACTTAGATCCACATTAATTCAATAATTTGTGAAAATGAAAAGAAAAAAAATCATTTTTATTGATAAAAGTAATGGAGAAATTTAAATTACTTTTAGATCTTATTAATGCTTTTTTTTTTAAATTCTTGTACGTAGTTTAAAAAAAAATAGAGTTCAGGGGGGAATTGATTTGGAACAAAGAGCAAGGGTAGTTAAAGTACTTACAGGGAAGGAATAAAAACATAAAAAAATTAAAAATTAAAAAAAAAAAAAAAAAATCAGTGTAAAAATAAAGTGGGGTTTGAACCCCTGACCTGCTGCACAATAAAAAATTAAGCTAATTCTCCTTTTACCACTGCAACAATAGTAGGCCTTTAGTTTCAATTTGCAGTTTTAAAAAATTTATACCAAATTTCTGGGGTAACATGTGCTACCCCTTGTTACAACATGGATTTGCCACTGAAATATTCAGTTTTATATGAACATAACATAAACACAAAAATGAACATAAACATCCAATTTTATATGTTCATATTCTATAAAGAAATATTCATTTTATATGCATTAAATGTTCAATTTATATTACAAAACTATTGAATTATCATGAGTCAGACAAGCTTCTTTCAAAAAATTGATGTTCAATATGAAATAGTGTTGTGTTCATATTTAAAATTTCAGTGTTCATTTTCAAATAATAAATGTTCAAATTCGAGTAATACAGTGTCATGTTCATATATATTATTGATGCTCATTATAAAATAATGTATTGATTATATTTAAACTTTTCAATGTTTATTTTCAAAAATTATATGTTCAAATTGTGTCATGTTCATATTTGATATGTTCATTTTCAAAAACTAAAGTTTAAAACTTAATTTATATAATTGTTAACGAAAAATAGATCATATTAATTTAATATAAATTTAATTTTTTACATTCATTATAATGTACTACATGTTCATTTGAAATATACTAAGCTAAATGTTCATTTTATATATCAAATCCCAATTGAGGTTCATAATTCCTTAACCCAAATTATCTTATGTTCATATATCGATCTAACTAATGTTCATAAAAAAACATATACATGTTCAGATATCTAACATTATAAGTTCATAATTTCAAAACTTAAAATGTTTTTTTTTTTTTTTTAAATTATTTTTTTTTAAACACCAAGCAAAAAGAAAGGTAAATTATCAGAAATACTGTTAACCATTATAAGGTTCAAAGCATCTATAAGAGCTTCTTCAATCCAAACACGTAAGCTATCAAAGTTTTTGCTAACGCTAGCAAGATAATGTACCACCCTATAACCAGTTCTTCCCACATGGGAGAATTTAATAGTAGAACAAGCCTTTGCTATAACAAGAATATCATTCACTAGGCGAAAAAACGAATTTCCCACCGGTTCAAACCCCCCCTTTCCCACCGGTTTTGAACCGGGTTGTATTTGAGGGTGCTAAAACCCCATAGATTGAAAAAGGACTTTTCGCATCGGTTCTTAGGGAAAACCGGTGGCAAAAACTGAACTTTTCGCACCGGTTTTTTCTTAGAACCGGTGCCAAAAGTCCCCAAAAATATTTTAAAAAAAACGTTTAGCACCGGTTCTTTTTCCAAAACCGGTGCCAAAATGCCCAAAATTTTTTTTTTGCATTTTTTTCACTCAAATTGTACCAAATACTTATATATAATATTAATATACATAAAACACATATATTTTGTTCAATAAATTGTAATATTACACTAGAAAAAAAAAAAAAAAAATATATAAATTCTGCTTCTGCTTCTTTGTGTTCTGCTTGCTGTTCTGCTATTGCTATTCTGCTTCTGCTACTTTTTAACCCGGACATTGCATCAACTTGACCGACTCTAATATAACTGCTTACCATAGTTTTTCTATCAAACTGTTTGGCAAAGGAAAGGGGAAGAACTGTCGAGCTTGAGAAGGAAAGGGTTAGGGTAGGGAAGAGAGTTGTTTATGAGCTTATAGGCAGTAATGGGCAAATAACACTCTGATTAATGGGCAACAGCAGCAGTGGTCGAACCTTATTACACCCAGGGACAAGATCTTGTAGTATTCTCATCCTCTCACTGATCTTTTCTCTTCTAGCCTGCCAGCAAAAGAAAAAAAAAAAATCTGACATTTTATCAACTGTATCATATTCCTACATCTCTGACAGCAAATGGTTTACAAGAAAACGATAAATACCAAAAGCAATAAGTGTGCTCTCTGCACATTCACAGCAACCCATAATAATAACTAACTAACCATTTTCCACTTAAAAGTTACTTATCAGTTGTCATACAATGAAACCAAAGGATTGTTATGTTTTCACTTTGCAGGCTTTTACTAATGGAGTATTTAAGAGTGCAGTGCACGAATTCTGAAAAGATAGGATATCTGTGGTCATATTTTTCAGCTCGGACGATGATGAAGTTGAACCCCTAGGCGAATTTGTTCCTGAAATTGAGAGTTGCTACGTATCATTGAACATACTATCAAATTCTAGAATGGTACTCCCCCTCCAACACCCCCCCCCCCCCAACCACCCTTAGCCCACCTCTCCCCTTTTTATTAAGCTACAAACATTTAAATCAACCATTATTTTAAAGTGCTACACTTCTATACATGATAAGCTTCGACATTTTGGTATATATATTACTACTAGCATATGTTTTCAACCAGAAATTTCAACAATACTATTAACTACAATGGCAGAACCTGCTCCACTAGCCAAACAAGAAGTAGCAGCAAAGCTAGTTCAAGAGATAGCCACTAAAAGTGATGACAGGGGAGGGCTGTAAAGGGGGGGTAAATGTTGCTCATGTGGATTTTCTTGCAAGTCAGCTGAGCTACTAAATATCTACGACTGGCTAAATAGAGTACATGTTATAAACTCATAGATGAAAGCATGTGAAATATCATAAAAAATCTACGTATGAGCAAAAGCAATTAGCCTGAAGGCTAAACATATCAAAATTTATGATTTGATGCCTTGGATAAATACGGAGTATGAATATTTGCCTTTGGGCTTGAATCTAGGTAAGGATAGAAATTGTTGATTTTAATAAAGATGGTACATATGGATAAAATACTCTAAAAAAAATTCAAAAGTGTTTCCAAAACAGCATCTTTCAATACCTGGAGAACCTATTTGTTTTATAGAAGTTTCCAGCATTGCATTATGTACTTTCAGATTTTCAGTGCAATATCTTCCTATGTTCCCATTAATTTATTTATTTTCATCTAGCATCAAATATAAGCTATTCCACATTCCTAAACAAACACAAGGAGGACTAGTTCCAGTGTTATTCACAAACAAACAGATGAAGTACATCTTAGGAAGTTGAACTATCTATATAATTCTATATTTTTAATCAAATGAACACTAAAGAAGGATCATTTTATCAATTCAGCCATGTTTAGTCATCACCCAATTATTTGATATCGCTAAGATCCTTCACAGCAAGCCACTCACATATAGCACAAAACATTTAAGAAAAAGTTGATGAGATATCCACATTATCCTAAAGTAAACCAATTTCTGCCTTCACTAATTCGACTGATGAAATTAAACAAAAAAGTAAGCAGCAATTCAATCGATAAACAACAGATAAATTACTCACATGGCAAACTTCAACTCGTTTCTAAGAAAAGCCTGATTACCTTTTTAAGAAAAGCCTGATTACCTTTTTAAGAAAAGAAAGATTACCTTTTTAATGGAGAAAGAAAAGAAAGAAGATGTGGGTATGTCTTCTTAAAAAGGTGATCTTCCAAACTTTTGTTAGGCATGTACTCATAAACGAGCAATCTCTGTATTCCTCTCTCTCCATCCACAGCGCAGTATCCTATGAGCTTGACAAGATTAGGGTGTTCCACAACACCAAGAAACTGAACTTCTGCCAGCCATTGTTTATGACCCTGCAAAAAAATGAATTTATATAACCCGCATAGAAAAAATAAGAACAAGTACGATAATTTGCAACATTTGGAGATGTAAAAGGGATGTGGTAACAAAGTCCACAAAGTTATGATCAAAATCAAATTTAGATATAGCTTCAAGTAATGTTCATTATATTAAACATCTCTTTCCTACATAGACAAAGTAAGCTGCTCAACAACAATGAGTAATTGAATTGGAGAAGATAAATTTACAGCATTTTTCTTAACATACTCAACTAAAAGCAACTGCAGAGCTTGCAATATAGCGGCCCAGAGCTTCCAGCTTGCCCAGGGATCATAGACTATGTTGTATTCACCTGAAAACACCTGAATACTCCTAAAAACTCCTGGACTTATTTGATCTGAAAATAATCACCCTCATTTTTTATTAAATCCAATAATTGATCTTACTAGCCCCTATCTTAACCAATGTAAAATTAATTATCAGCAGCTAAGGATTAGAATTTTGGGGTAGAGGTCATCAAGCATGTATCATCTGAAAAAGACTGTCATAGGCATTCAACCACGATTCAGAATTATCAGACCTTTGTTGCCTGCCTATAAGAATATCATCTACTAACTATAAATCAAAGAAAAGAGCAATAAAATAGGTAGATAAATGGACTGTCATTGGAGCAACACACTTGCTGATCACAAGTGATCATTGATTCGAATGCTTCCTATCACTCGCTGCAAACATAAGACTCGAAGCATAACTATTCTAGCACCCCCTCTTCTTTAATCAACATAAGTTCCCTGAAAAATCTAGCACGATCAATATTATGTTCTGTCACAAATGAATATGGAAAGATTATAATCTAGCCAATAACTGAAACCAACACAAACCTGGGCATCTTCTCTTACACATAGATTCTGACCAGTTGGATTAAGCAAATCATTTATAATCTGAAATCACAGGATTTAGATTAAATTCAATTCTACTCATAAGTAAACCCTAAAATAAATACTTGAACCAGAAAACTTAATAAAAGATTATAGCACAACGGGGCGATCAATAAAAAGCCTTCATCGTGAATATTAGATGTAAATATGCTGAGTTTAAGTCAGTAAAAAATTCTCAATTATCAGATCTATATTAATGTATAAGTTATCTTTACCTCATTATAGATCTCGAGATAGGAAACACGGAGCAGGAACTCTCGCCCAGGAGTCTGAACCAAAAGCGAAGTAAATCAGCCATAGTTCATAAATATAAGGACATAAAGAATGATAATTCTAGATGAGCTCCACGTATAATCAAACATGGTGCGTAGCAAAAGATATTAAAAAAGTAATAGCAAACAGTGAAAGAGCAGCTTCAAATGGTATGCTTGACAGTCCAATGGCTATAGCAAGAGAAGAAAGTGTGCTTACTTCCTGTATAATGCTGAAGACATCTTTGATTGCCAGTGGTATGATACCAGGAAAGTCTTGGTCCCCCTGTAAAGAAAACATCAGAGATTAGTCAATAACAATGGATCATTACTTTCCAAGCTACGAACAAGAAACATGAGACATTAGTCAACGACATTGCTGAATATGCTGATATATGAAAACACTTTCAAACATCTCATGAAGTTAAGAATAATTTAGTCAAACAGGGAGTTGTAATATACAATTAAACTTTCTTACCAATAATGCACTACAATTACAGAAAGAAACAAATCTCATTCACTATTGTAATATACCAAGTACATAATTATAACTTGTAAAAAGGGATTTTCCCTCTTTAGTCTTCCATTGAATGATGAATCACTTCAAGCACCGACAATTAACGAAAACTCAAAATTCCTAAATTTTATCACCCAAGACTCAGTTAAATCAATAGCACCCTTATTGGACTAAAATCACAATTAAATTCAGAAAATCAGCAGTAAATCAATCTTCATAGATTATAAAATCATTTCTGAGATTACGAATTTTGATAGTGTGAGAAATTAAAAGACAATAAACACACATATCAAATTCAGGGGCAATTTCATAGTTCAATCCTAAAATTAACAAATCAGGCTTCGAAATTTAGAGAGAAAAGACAAATTTGATTCAATTAATTAGGCTTGTAATTTCCTTATATTGCAACATAATCACTCGTTAGCGATACTGCAAAAATCCGAACCCTAAATTAACTAAATATCGACAATTAAATTAAATTGGATCAACGATAAACCCTAGATTGTGAAATTGATATTGGAAGATTACAAAAAGAAACGATAACTTACCTCAGAAGCTGCTTCAATGGAGGATAGAAATCTCAGAAGGGCGCCTCAATGGAGAACGTGGAGTGTGCTTCAATGGAAAATTGGTAGATAGAATAGCGGAGCGTGTAAGTGAAAATTGAATTCGTAATTTTGAGGAAAGTGCTGAGGAAAGCTCAGAAGCCCCTTCAATGGAGAATTTCGAGTACGCTTCAATGGAGGAGAGAGAGGCAGATGAGAGAGGAGGAAAGATAGAGGAAATGAAAGAGAAAGAAAGAACATTGACCCGTTTTTTTTTATTTAACAATAGATTCCGCACCGGTTCGAACCGAACCGGTGCGAAAAGTCTTCCCCTTAATCCCGCCTATTTTTTTTCGAACCGGTTTTTAAAAACCGTTGCGCATTTTGCGGTGCCTATTTCATTTTTTCTACTAGTTATTGGTGATAAGCCCAAAGCATGTAGCCTCCCTTGTATTATTCTTCAGGTGCTTGTAAACCTTGAAATTATCTGTTTTAAGCACGACTCTTGTAAGACCAGCTTCAAGAGCAATTTGTAAGGCATGCCTGGTTGCAATAGCTTCAGTAACATCAACGTTATCTCCACCCCTCACCCACAAGACAGTAGCAACCATGATGTCCCTTACATTGTCCCACGTAATGCCCCCTAAACCAACGAAACCATTCTTGAACATCGCAGCGTCCGAATTAACCTTATACTATCCCATCTCAGGCCTTACCCATTTGTGCAAGGTAGGAGCAGCAGCCTGCAGAACAGAAGTGGATTTCTCAATCGCTTTTTCATACTCACCAATGGTACCCATAGCTTTTTGGTGAACCACAATAGTATCAATCATCTTTCCCTCGTATAGCCAAACATTCTTCATAACCAAATTCCCCACAACAAGCTCCAAAACATACTCCACCAGTCACACTCTGAATGCACTTTTTCCAGCTCAAGGCACTAGTCAAGGAAAAGAACTTTGCTTTTACCAAGGTCGAGTCTTAGTGGAGAAGTATACCAAATGAAGGAAACTTTGCTACATAAGGCAAGAGTATGCAGCGATGTCTCATTATTTTCACCGCACAAAGGGCACATAACATCCACATCCATACCTCTTGTTGCCAGATTTTGCCTCGTGGAGATACCCTCATTCAAAGCCCTCCATCCAAAGTGTTTTATTTTGGGGGGCAAAGAGGCATTCCAGACCTTGCTCCAGATGGAAAGGTTTTTCTGGTTTGAGGAAGCAGAATTTCTCTTATCCTTGAGCTCCACATAATAGGCACTTTGAACACTAAATAAATTTTCATATGCAAAGAATCAAATGTTAGAGACATAAATTATAAAGTACAGAATGCCAAATTTTTTAAAATGATTAAAAATACATAGATCTAAAACCAAAAAAAAAAAAAGTTCATAAGTAATGTATCACATGTTCAGAATTATAAAATTAAGATGTTCATAATTCCAAAAAATATGTCGGTTAAAATATACATTTATAGGAAACGAATCATACATTCATATTTTTAAATGAAAATGTTCGAATTACCAAAATATATCCAAATACAGAATTGTCTATAACAAAATACACAAATATCACTAACAAAACAATCAAAAGAATATGAACGCTACATATTTCGAAACTCAGACCTAGCCATGGTATAATGGAATCTCATTGGAAAAATAATCATCTTTGTTGTCTAAACCACCTTCTCCTCGTCGAAGCCGCCATTTTCAACTTCACTTCATTGCAGAAACTCCATTAACAAAGCTTCAAATCGAAGGTTGAAGAAAACGAAGTTGAATTTAATCTATGGTGATCAACAATGGTGATGAAGGAATTCAATGTATGGTAATCAATAATGGTGATGAAGTAATTCAATCAAAAACAGAATGATAAACAAATTCAAGAGAGAGAAAAATAAACTAGAGAGAAAAGTAGAGGAGAGAGAAATCAGAAATTAGGAAAGTGTAAGGGAAGGAGAAGAAAAAAAAGACAATATATTTTTACTTGGTGGTTCACATAGAAATAGGAAATTTGCAATTGTTATATTTTTTTTACTAAATGTTCAAAATTATAGACGTGGTGCACCTAGTTTACCAGAGTCTGCAATATCGTGCTATTTGTTTACCAGGGTGCACCTTATAATTTGCGTAAAAATGGCAAAATTGGCCTCAACAACTATGGCTTGGGTGCACCTAGCACACAGTACTTCGCGTAGTAGCCAAAACACCACAAACTAATGACTTAGGCGCAAAGCGTGCCTTTGGTGAGCTTTTCGGCCACCGTTCTCGTTGAAGGCGATGAACCTTTCATATTTCATATATTAAAATTTAATATTTTGTTAAGGTTTTGAGGTCAATTTAGCCCTTAAGCATGAACTCAGAATAAACAAAAAAAATAACGTAAATGACTCGTTTTGCGAGTCATGAAATATCTCAATTTACATGTCATTGTTTTTTAAGTCACAAAAATTGCTCGGGTGATGTTTTGGTGGACATTTTGGCCCTATAACGGGTCCAAGTAAAGCTCAAAATTAGAAAAAAAAAAACAAAAAAAACGTAAATGCCTCCATTTGCATGTCAAGAAATAACACAATTGACACATAAAATTAAGCAATTACATTTTTTTTGTCGATTTCGGGCTCAATTTGGACCCTTTTGAAATAAAATGACCCCTGAAATCTTACTGATGAGTAATTTTCGCTACTTAAAAACCAATGATACACAAATCGAAATATTTAATGATACGCAAAACGAATCAATTACGTTATTTTATTTGCTTATTCCGAGCTCAATTTGGACCCTTAAAAGCCAAATTGATTTGCAAAACCTTAATGGGACATTTTTCAGCACGAGACTCGAATAATAAATAATTAATTATATTAAAATATTGAAGGATCCACTGGCTCTGACGAGAATGTATGGTGGCCGAAAAGCTTACTAAAGGCACGCTTTGCACGCAAGTCATTAATTTGTGGTGTTTTGACTACTACGCAAAGTATAGGGTGCACCCGAGCCATATTTCAGAGTGTTGAGGCCAGTTTTTCCCAAGGTTAGGTAGATGACGGTTGAAAAAAGGAAAGGCTAATCGTTAGACGAGGCTCAAATTGTTTTATCAAGAAATGCTCTTGTATTTGAAAGGGTAAAGGTGATATGATGCGGCTATAAAGGGTGCCTTAAATCATTGGTATACCTTATGCTTAGTTCAGTGATTTTTATTTATTTATTTAACATAAAATGTAATGCAATTATCATATGCAAAGAAAATAAATGCTCATTATATTGAAAGTGGAAGGATAAAATTCAACTCATAAAGTATGTCTAAGAAAGGTGATAGAGGGTGCCTATGCTAGAATTATTGGGGAAGGAGAAACAAAAAAGAAGAAGAAGGCATGAAATCTTGATGAGAAGCTTGTCTCATGCCTTGTCTCATCATTACTCAGTATTTCTTGCCTGTTGGGGGGAATGGAATTTTGTTTACATCAATGAGATCTTGAATGAGGTTTTAAAACCTGTAACATCCATCTACGGTATGGTCGTTGCCTCGATGGTACTTGCAATACAAGTTCGGATTCCATCCTAAAGATCGCCTTTCTGGAGTTTGGTCTTCTATGGGGCCAATAGGCTTGATTAAGCCCCGATCATGGAGACAATCGAAAGCGACATCATAAGATATTCCAATAGGTGTAAATTCTCTTTTTGGTTCCCTGGTCTTTAAAGCATCTTTGTCAAGAGCCTAAATTTCATCGTCGTTGATGTAGTTGTTATTTTGATGGGAAGAAGAGGAAAAAGGATTGTCGGTCTTCCTGCTCTTGCCATTATAGCTATTGTTATTAGCCTTGGCCTTCTTGTTGCTTGGAGATATATGAAGGCAATTTGAATCAATGAGGTCTTGAATATGGTCTTTAAGGGTGAAGCACTTTTCGGTGGTGTGACCATGTCCTATATGATATTTGCAATAAGAGTTTGGATCCCAATTAGGAGACCGTTTCTCAGGTACTGGATCTTGGATTGGACTAATGGGATGAATGAGACCTTGGCCATGGAGATAGTCAAAAGCTTCACTATAAGTCAATCCTATTGGTGTGTATTCATTAATTGTCCGTTTTACCCGTGGCTTAGGAGCATTGAATTTTTCCTTAAGTCCCTGATGGGAAGAAGAAGAAGGAGGATGCTCGTTCTTTTCATTCTTCCGAACCTGACAATGAGAGTTTTGTTCGATGGCTGATATCTGATTCGCTAGGCCTTCCACCATACTCATAAGCATGGCAACGAAATCTCTTGATGAGTTTTCCTTTGTAATAACTAAGAAAACTTCTTCATCTTCCTCAATCTTGGCCACTTCGTTAATGGAAGTTATATAGACTTCTTCAATCATGGGCTCACCAACAGGTGTAATGAGGAGGGAAGGATCAAAGGATATATGATCTTCTACGATGGCTAGAACCTCGGAAGTTTTGTTATCATTAATCAAATCTTGGATAGCTTCTTTGAGTTTAAAACATTTCTCAGTATCGTGACCCCTTCCTTAGTAGTACTTGCAGTGTTACTTAGGATCCCACTTAGGTGGTCTGGCCTCCAAAACTAGGTCTTTGATAGGTCCTATGGGCATGACTAGTCCTTTTTGGTGTAGTTTATCGAAAGCTGTCTCATAGCTCATACCGAGTTGAGTAAACACTCTTTTCGACCTTTAGATTCGTTGCTTAGAAGTTTTCGTAGCATGTAATTCATTAATGGGAGAGGAAGAAGAAGGATAGTCGTTCTTCTTTACTTTCGCATTATTATTGTTAGCATCTTTCAAAAGGTCATCTTCAATTTCGATACCTATATTGTAGACAGCTTTGAAAGTGCTTAGAGGTTGATATTTCAAGTGCTTTTGGTATTTGTCTTGAAGATTTTTTATGAACATCCTCACGGATTCCTTTCATTTGGGACAGTGATCATCTTGGCAGAAACTTCCTTCCACCTAGTATAGAATTCAGTGAAACCTTCATTGTCCCTTTACCTCAAGATTTCGAGCTCTCTATAGTTAGTTTAAACTTGAATGTTACACTTGTATCTATCAATGAAGGCATGCGTATTACTATCCTAAGTAGCCATTTTCTCAGAGTCCATGGAAAAGAACCATTGTTGACATACTAGTTCCAAGGAAAGAGAGAAAAGTGAGGGGAAAACTTTCTTGTTAATTCCCTTAATCTCCATAATCGTCTCAACGACCCTCAATTAGAAGTAAGGGTTGTCAGTAGCTTTGAATTAAGGGATGTCATTGGCAGAGAACTTCTGCGGAAGAAGATCCTTATCCAGTGAGACCCCTTTGGAGCTTATTCCAAAATACTTATAGTCATTGGAGTTTTGACTCAAGCTATCCTCCATGCGCTTGATGGTTTCAATGGGTACTTGCTTGTTAGGGTCTTCGACTCGAGTAGTGAGTCCCTTGAGCATTTCGGCA